ATTCTAAGTCTCAAATCATTCAATAGAGCCTCTGTCTGTTTACATGTTAGCTTTGCTTAACTCTGTTCTCCTAGAGTAGCAAACGGGGACAAAAGCAGTGACCCAATTTGTTTCTTTCACACACTCCTAAACAAATCTCTGTGATCAAGGGAGCAATGAACTCGAATTTTATAGACCTAAATCATTCATCCATCTGTCATTCTGGTTTTAAAGGTTAGAAGGGAGAAAAGCTTGGTCTTCACTAATTAATACTCATGACTGATCTGGGTTATTTTAGTAGGGTAATTATATATTTATATAAAAACTGCATCTCTATCATATTCTGAGTGTATCCTAAATTCAGGTGTTCTACTGCTCATTATTGCTGCTTCTTTAGAAAAATGTACAGCATTCGAGGTGGAATTCATGTTCCAAGTCTACACAACTAATTTATATACTGATAGGCCCATTACACAGTGCTTATTCAGAATTTATAAACAATTGGCTAAAAAAGTTGGCTCTTACTATTCTGAGTTTTCAGATAATTCACAAATGTTGCTAATTTCATTATTTCTCTCCCAAAATTCACTAATAAATATTTTTTTGTGTGTCCAATATTCTACACGTTTATCCAGTTGGTTGGTGTGGAAGTAAAATCTCTACCTCAGACATGAAATGTTTCTTGTGATAATATATCTAGTTATGCTACAACAAGTAACATAATTGATTGGCTAGGAAGAAAGAGAAATTTATTGTCTCACCATTTGGGGATCCCGAAGTCTGAAATCAAGTGTCTGGTCTAAAGTTCAAGGGAAAGATCTATTTCAGGCATGTCTCCTACTTTTGGTAGCCTTGGGTATTTCTTGGCTTATAGATGGCCATCTTCTCCAGATCTGCTTCCCTTGTTTTCCCTCTAAGTCTGTGTATTCAACTTTCCTCTTTGGATAAGGACATTTGTTATATTGGACTAGTGAAAGACCCTAGCCCAGTTAGCCCAGTTACCTAAGGCCAAGATATGAAACCAAGATACCAGGCAGCCATAAACAGGTTCAGGCACCAGGCATGCTTTCCAGACAATGGGTTGAAGAACAGAGTACCCACATCCTGGGGCATGAATGAATAAACAGGAACAGATAAGCAGGAACAGAGAGAATAGAATGCAGACCTGTGGTTTTTGGAATGCAGACCTGTACCCCCTAGGTGGCCTATATGCTAGATTTAAACAAACCAATAAGAAACCTGTCACTTCCCGCGCTGGAAACCTGTCCTAAACCCTATAAAAATCTCTGTATCCCCAAGCCCGGTGTGCCAGTTCACCAAAGCTCCGGCTGAGGTTCTGCTGGGCACCCGCAGGCGCCTGTGTCCCAATAAACAAACCTCTTGCTTTTGCAGCCAGTGTTTCGTGTGATTCTCCTTGGACAGGGATACTGAGGGTCTTTCATTGGACAGGGGTCTTTAACACTAGAGCCTACCCCAAAGACCATGTTAATTTGATCACCTTTGTGAAGATATTATTTCTAAGTTAAGTTCTTATTTTCAGGTTCTGGGAGACTCTAAATGAATTTAGGAAGGACACAATTCAAATCATGGCAGTTTCCTTTTTTTCCTCACAATTTTCTCCAAACAACAGTTTAACTTTTAAAAGATTTCAATAACAATTTTCAAACTATACTTATAATCTTTTTATTTCTATGGAGGTTATAATAAAAGTAAAATGTAGTAACTACAACAAAGTTCACTGGTAAATATGCAAATAGCATGTAATTAAATTGTTCATCCCTAAAAGACTTTCTTAAATTGTATGTTTGCAAATTATGCATGTGTATGCCTTTTCTTGTTTAGGTAACAATTAAAAGAATAAAGCCAAATTTTCCTATATCAGGCAATATTTATGTTCTATTTAGTACCCATGCATTGTAAATTTAACTTTTTTTTCTGATTTTTTAAAAAAATGTATTTTAAGTGAACAGATAAATTGTATAAAATTTTTCTGTAAAAATGTTTAAAAATATATACATTGTTGAATGCCTGATATAGCTAATATATGTATTACCCAACATACTTATTATTTGTGGGCTAATAATACTTTATATGTACTCTTTTAATGTGTTTCAAGAAAACAATAGACTATTAACTATAATCATCCTGTTGTACAAGTAATCTCCTGAAATTATTCTTTCTGTCTGACATTTTGAATCCTTTGACTAATATCTTCACATCCCATACTGCCAACTACCCAAGCCACTGTTAATCATATCTACTTTCTACTTCTATATCGACCATGTTTATAACATTCTGAGAAAATCCAAACTAAAATACAAATTTATTTAATAAATTTTTATCATATATGTATATAATTTTAAATTAGGATATATTATTATAATTCAAAATTAACATTTCCATTAATTTTTATTTCAAAACAGTTAATGCAAAACAAACACCCCAACAGTCAAACTTCTCTTAAATTTTGCCTTTCACAAAGTAAGCAAAAGGTGACAATATTTGTCACTTCTTTGTCCTGCTGCCCCTCCTTAAATTGTGAATCTTTACTTAATTGTCCTTTGATGGGATTATATATGCCTGGCATTTTTCTGAAATCAACTTTTCCTTATTAATGATAAAGTTAAAACATGAATAATTCAACACTTATTATTAATATTTTTATTTCTTATTACTTACAGAGCTCTATGGATCCTTCACTTTTATTGGCCTAGAACCTGTTTTAAGGAATTTTAAGCAATAGCTTTGGAAACATAGATAGTCTATGATTAAAATGTTTGTAATTTTAAAAATGACCTTTGTTATAATTTTAGGAATTGAACCCAGGAGCACTTGAGCATTGAGCCAAATGCCAGTCCTATTTTGTGTTTCATTTGGAGTCAGGGTCGCAATGAGTTGTTTAGTACTTCATTTTTGTTGAGGCTGGCTTTGAACTCATGATCCTCCAGTCTCAGCCTCCTGAGCCACTGGAATTACAGGTATGTGGCACTGCGCCTGGGAAAAATGACTCTTAATAATTGTCTTAACTTCTCACTATACATTCAGTAACAAGAATAACACATTAGTTCATTAATCTTTGTCACTACAAGATGAAAATAAAAAGGGGCTAATTTTGAAAAATAGAGATTGCAGTTGGTAAAATGTCATTTTCATAATGTTAACATAAATAATTTGTTAAAATTACTGAAAGTTTAAATGTCAACACTACCTAATTTTAACAGGATCTCTGTTAGTAATTAATAGCTTAAAAACTAGTGACTTGAAAATCAAAATGTTTCTTATGGAAAGAGCTATTACCTTCTGTACATTATCAAAGAAGAGATTGGAACTTAGGAATCTACCTCCTTACAAGATAAGAGTACACCAGATTTTCCTGTTTTACCTTTCTTTAAACAAGGAATTCTTGTTACTTGGTTCTCTGTTGGATATGTTCCAGTTTGCTGATTCTCAGGGAAGAACACTGCCAGCCTTAAGCATTTTGGGTGTTAAGTGATAATGATTTTGAGTTAGAATTACCCAGAGGAAAGACTGTAAGAAACTGGACAGAGACTGAAATCACCAATGTTTGCTTCTTATCCTGTATAACTTTATGCAGTCACTACATCTATTTAAGATGTTAGCCATACATTATGACTTTAAAGTAAAGTGGTAAAAAATTGTGCCTTCTCAAGCTTTTTTGTATGATTGAAACAATATTTTAAATTAGAGTATGATGACATTTTCATTAAATGTTTAGCAATTAATCCTTTGTTTTACATCTGTGAATAAATATATAAGAACACTTCTGAATAGTTGAGAAAATAATCATATTTCCAAATAGTCACAGAAAAATGTCAGTGTCCAAAGATTATGGTTAATCCTTCAATCAACACTGGAAAATATGCTTTAGATGGACATTTCAAAAACTCAATATTAATAATAGAAAAATATTCTATCACTCGACAAAAATGGAAACAACTGAAATCGGAGATCATCTCATGGATATAACTATATAATTGTCTACAAATTTTAATATAAATGTACCAAATTAGATCAAAAGGTATTTTTACAAATCCATATAAACTTTATTTCCTACTTTTTTTTTTACTAACATAAGATATAAATCTATACAGATGGGATGAACAGGCAATAAATAAAAAAGCAGGCAATAGAGGTAACAGAAATTAAGAAATATAAATCACTCATATGAATGAAATTTCTGTATAAATCCATGATGGACAATATGATAATGCCTAATATAGTATATATGCCTGAATTTCATCTGGATTTAGTGTAATGAAAAAATGTATTTGTCCAAATAAAACAAAAATTATTTACTTGTATTACCAGACAGAGGGAACTTATAATACACATAATTTCTCTCTCATCCTCTCTCTGTTTTATTTATTTATGTATTTATTTATTCATTTATTTATTGTGGTAAGTCTAGAGATACAATCTGGTTTACAGCTCAGATGCGATAAATAATTACTCTGCATGTTTGTTATTACATACATAGTCCCATCCAATGGTTTTGTTATTGTTTCTAACATGTATAATATGTAAGCATCATCAAATCTAATTTGACAGTAATTAAATAAAATGTAAGTCATATATAGAGTGATAAACATCATCGTGAATCAGTGGTTATAACTCATTATTGAAACCTTTAAATTAAAATGAAAATAAAAATAAATTGATTAAAAGGTATCAATTTCTAAATATTGTAGCTAATTTTTTAAATCAAAATATTTGATTACTCATAAGATACTATGGAGGACATGGAGGTATAGTCTCCATTTAGAGTAAAATACTTCGATCTGTACAAATGTGATGTGAACTGTATTTTAACCCACTCTGCAATAAATAGATCATATTACAATTATATCTGCAAATACACTTTTTCTTTATCCTCAGTCATCTTGAACCCTTAAACTGTTAAATTTAAATTCTTCTTAGAGAAAACTAAGTACCCTAAAACAAATAATATTATCAACATATAATACTTGATGGACAGTTTTAAAATAGTATATAGCACTTACCCATACAAGAAGATGTAACAGCAGCTGATAAGCTGTCAAGGAGAAAAATGTCAAAAGAATTAATAAATCATATTGGAATTACAAGATGATGAAAATTATAAGCAGCTATGTAAAAATTAGGTTGCTGGTAGTCAGATGACCTGGCTTCTTTAGCCTCAGTAGTCAAGCAGTGTGTATTTTTTAGTATGAAGTAGTAAGTAGTTAGCAAGTTCAGAATACATAAACACTGCTTATCTATCAACAGAAGGCCTTATCTTTGAGGGCATGGAAAAATCACCCAATGAATGTGGTACTTCACAGTTCTAATTTATTGCTTGGCCTTCTTCAGAACTTCAGCCTTTAACTGCATGGGGATTGGCAAGTAAGTGATGTTTATTTTTTATTTTCCTGGTGGTAATATCACTACTTTTATTTACAGTCATGATTAAGTATATAAACATTATGATTGGCTTGGATCCTGAAAGTGTATTCTGATTTATTGTGAACGATCAGAGATCATAAATATTACTATAGATGACTGAGGAGGCAAAGAAAACCAGAAGTCAAAGAAAGTGACTGAAAGAAGACAAATTGAGAGGATAATTAGGAAATAAAGCATGCACAGTCAATGATACAAGAATTCTAAAATAAATTAATGAAATCTAAAAGTCCACGTGGTTCATAAGGAAAAGTGATTATTAAAATGCAGCATTAAAAGGTTAAAAAAATGAAATATGTAAAATTTGGCTTAAAGAATTCTTCTTTAAACTTTTAAGATTTAAAAATATTTCTTATAAATAGAAAGCATGTATTTTTCTTGTTATATATGAAAAGATGTATGTTGGTTTTCACTTTTATTAATTGTGACTGTAAATAAAAGTAGTGATATTATCACCAGGAAAAAAAAAAAAAACACTTAATTGCCAATCCCCATGAAGTTAAAGGCTGAAGTTCTGAAGAAGGCCAAGCAATAAATTAGAAATGTGAAGTACCATATTTAGTTTGGTGATTTTTCCATATTCTCACTGATTTTATTGATAGATAAGTTTTTGGAAATAAAACTTAAATGCTTATAGAATTTTATTTTAACAGAAAGAAGAATGTATGAGAAATGAGACATGTTTTTAAGTGCCATAAATTGAGACATGTTTTTAAGTGCCATAAATGAAGAAGTTTTCGAATATCAGTCTATCAGAAAAATTCTACATTGTATTACACATATTAATAACCCTTAATCATGAACAAAGATTTTAAAACCAGAGTCAAAAAGCAAGAAATTTAATATCAACTATAGTTTTATGTTTGGGAGTTTAGTCATTATTAATAGGTTAGTTTATATGCCTCATATTTCCTTCATGTCTTATACAAAAATTTGGATATTAAATCAAACCAAAACAAATAATATGTAAAATTAAGGAATGAATGTTTACTATTATCCTGTCAAGAAATGACTACTTTTGAGTTTGTTGCCTATGATATCAGATATTTTTCTATGTACAGGCCAACATGTTTTAACAATTATCTAACACAAATATATCTCTACATACTGCTATGCAATTATGAAAATACACCAACTCACTTTTTGTTTTAGTAATTTATCTTAGATATCTTTCAATATTAGTTTAAATATATTTAATTATTTAATGATTATGTACTTTTAATAAAAAGTAAAATTAATTTATGTTGCTTTGGTAATAGAATAATTCTGCATTTATTAAGACTTGTCTATTATTAAATACATTGTTGTAGTTACAATACAACAAAACTAAAGTACTTTAAAAAGAAAACAAAAAAAAAAAGCCCTTAAGGAGAATTTATGTTAGATATAATTTGCAATGATAGATGATAACATTAAAAAAAAAAATTACATAACTAAGGAAGCTGAGCACTTACTCAGCCAAAATCACATTTGAGAGGTTTACTCCTGAACACAATAAAAGATAAAAGTGGATATTGGCAGATTAATTATAAAGTAGATTTATTGAGCTTGATGCTAAGAAATGCTTGAAGTCACTTCCCCAAATCAAGAGTCAGGGCTTTTGAAACAGTGAAGCTATTCCAACATTGATGAATTTTTATTTTATGTAGATATATATATATCAGTAAATTAGTAAATTGTATGTATATATATATATATATATCAGTAAATTAGTATATATCAGTAACTTAGTATACTGATATATATATATCAATAATAAACTAATGTGTATATATTGTTATAAATTATCATGTGTTCAAAGGATTCAATAGGATGACCTGCATTTGAAGAATAGATGCCTAATCTCATAATAAAATCCCTGAAAAACTATAACATATTACTTCTCCATATCTACCATCATAGAGTCTTTCTCCAGAATAGGAGTAGAGTATCTTATTGGGTCTTAAGTGATGACTTTTTAAAGAATATTTACACTATACAAACTTCAATAGTTGTTGTGCTATTATTCTTAATGGCATGTTCAGAAATTGCATGCTTTATATTGTTCAACCAAAATTTCTAAAAATAAAATGCCTCTCAGTTTTTTTGAGATTAATCATGGCATAGTTTTATTATTAAATCTTAGGTGATTGAAAAATAAATCACATGTGTTGCAAATATACTTTGAACAACAAGCATTGCAAATTGACATTACAGTGTGGATTTTTCATCTTGACAGTTTATCATAGAGGCCAAGTAGACCCAGATTTTCATTAAAGAAAATGAGGATAAATCTGAAGAAACATAAAGAATAAAACAAAGTTCTTGTTTATTTGTGCAAAGGAATCAAATTGTAGATCATATTCAATATCAGATTTATTCCAATTGCTATTCCGAAGATGGAAAATGTTATCCATAAAAATTAACAGCAATTTTGCTCTTTTCAAAGAGCCAGGAAAAAAATAAGTGGGGGGAGTTAACTTAATTGAATAATTACACCTCAGCTTGTTCTCAGTTTAGAAAGAAAATAACAGACTCAAGAAGAACTCTTAAGTCTTTTCAGGGCACAGATGAAAAACATGTACTTCAATGTTGTTTGCTTAACAATGAAGCTTCTGTCAATAAAGCCTTAGTTCTATAATCTATAGTTGTTCTGTTAATGTACTGTTAGGATAAAAAGAATAAGTGTTGGAATATACCAAAATAAGTAGACCCAGGAATAATGTAACTATGAAAATATGTGATACATTGCGACCAATGAAAGATCTACAATTTTATTCTACCATACGTGCATACAAAGAGTCACAGAAAGAGTCAGGATAAGATACTTATTTTTAATGCTACTCTAGAATTAAGAGAATTAAATACAGAGACTTAGTAGTTTGCTTTTGGTCAACTAGTTAGTGATGTGTCAGAAGGAGAAGTCAACTAAGATTATCTGAAGCCAGGGACTGATTGTTTGATCTTTGTGTAGATAGTCAAAATTATTCATTTGTGTACAATATTTACTAGTTCATAAAGAAATTTCATACCTGTGTGTGTGTGATCTCATTTAACCCTTAGAGACATTATATTCAGCCTGGGGGGTGGTAGCTGTTCTGATCACACACACATACAGAGAGAGAAAGAGAGAGAGAGAGAGAGAGAGAGAGAGAGA